CCAGGTTTCCTTCTCGTGCTGCACATTTTCTACCTTCAGTAAATCTTTTCGCCATTTTCTGACATTTCAGTAAATCGAGAAAATCAGATCACTGAGTATAACTATTCAACATGTGGGGGGTCAGGAACCTGCCGACCTTCAGCCTTACCTCCAAGCAACTCCAACCACTTACAGGACTGAGCACGGACACCTCATGAGCAACGAGACACGTGAAATCTCTTTCTTATGTGGTGTTGATAAGCAGTAGGTGACCATTAATTCAGGAAATGAGCTTAAAGGTTAAGTGCAGCTGTAGCCCAGTGGCTGCATAATCTGTGAAGGTTAAACAAGAGCTCAGCTATGTGGATCTAATTACGATATGGTAATGCCAACTGTCACATTAACCCCTCTGACATGCAGCTGCTTTATTTATTTGATTGATGCTCTGAGTCCTACCTCACCTACCCCATACTGCTGCAACTTACAGTACATCAACCTAATGACATGGTCCGCTCCACATGTTTCCTTCCAGCCTTCCGCTTTGGATAATATATTGCGTTTCATGTCTTTATGTTGTACCGAGAGCTCCGGTCTGGTGCTTTACTGTGTTGTGACAGCTCGCTTTTGTGCATTCCGTTAATTGGGTTGCTCGTTTTTGATGTTTACAAATCTATAGCCTGTCATTTTATCATAATCATCTTGTTGATTGAGCTTCCTAATGCTCTCATTTGTTTATACAAGTCAGTTTGCTGATTAAGTCAACCTTGGCCTCAGCTGGTCCCTGTCCAATGCCTCAGCTTCATCCCTGAGGTTCATGATACCCTGATAGTCTCAGCTGGAAACAGACCAAAGCTTGCAATCCTATTACAACACTACCATCTTCCCAGCCCCAATCATGGTTTAATTAAAGTAGTCCAAAGAGTCCAAAGAGGACAAGTGAATTAGTAGTCATGTCTGGCCCAGGAGGTGGAAGATTTGTATTTTTTTAATTTGTGTCGGTTATTGAGCTCGGTCTCTCAGATGTTTCGGCGACACTACAATGGGAGATTCGCAACCTTTACGTCGAAAAGTGTATTGAAAATACAACAACCACGAGAAGATCATGTATTCTGATGTGCTCATAAAAAAACCTGAGAGATGTTGTGTTTATAAGTTCGCCTCGAAATGTTGTGAGCAGAAAAAAAATGCATCTTTGAAGAGTAAACCGGCTTAAAGTTGAATGACTTGCAGAAAATGAAAAGGGGTCCGAGGGGGCATTGTAACACAACGCTTCCCTACTGTAGCCTGCTGATGCTATTTGTGGCAGAAGCCGTGGCTGGCAGTGCAGGGGTATGTAATGTTTCGTGTCCAGATGAGGTATTGACTGTAAGCAGAGATGACTGGATGTAATCTTAGACACACAATGCAATTTCAGAAGGGCCAATGAGACCATCAGAAGAATCGGGAACACATTTTACTGTGCAGGAAGCAGGATATTAGGTACACTACTTTCTGGATATTCTCTATAATACTGTGCAAAGATTAAATCCAGCTGGTAGCAGCTTAGATTTGCAGTTTTAACTGTATTTAATATTTCTCCATTTTCCTCTATAAATACAATGATAAAATGTGTAAAGAAAATCTAAATGGTGTTAACTCAGCAATCCCATATTTCATACACTTGCTAGCTCGATAATTCTCCATCATTTCATTGGCAGAATAATCCTACAGATTTAGATCCACCGCGATGCCGTGAATTAATGATGAGATTGGTCAACCCTAAACAAAGGTTTACTCAATGTGAACGTGTTCCTCCGTGACGCGCGGTCTCTATTCGGTGAAGTTATTTGTGTTGTATTTATTTTCTGACACATGAATGGGCCATCTGGGATTTGCACTTGTTCAATATTACTATTGCTTTAAGCCATAAATCTTATGCAATATTTTTCTCTCTGGGTGCCCCTCCCTGCCCCACCAACTGTGTAACTGAAGTTACACAAGCGTTGTGTAGGGGAAACAGTTGGCATGCCAACTAATCCAACCCAACAGAAACCCAGCTGAGAGAGAAAATGCACAAAAAATTAAGGGATGTCTGTTTCAATTACGATAACATTTGGATCATTACATAATAATCCAACTACCAAACATGCAAAATATCTGAGCTAATGTCCTCTCTGCTGATGTACACAGCCAGCTGCGGATTTGTGTAGCCATGAAATTACTGACTACGTGGGTTCAACGTGGGCATGTAATGCCACATTGTGGAAGAAGCCTCAGTTTTATTGATTGGTTCCCTCTGACTGACCTCACCGATTTTTTTGTTGTACGGATTTGATAAAAGATAGCCCTAACTGGTCGAAAACACTTTTTTAAATGATAAAAATCAGCTAAAGATGTTAGCGTTTTAACTCACAATCATACAAATACAACATGTGCAGTGTTCTGCCTACAGCAGTGATAAAAGTGTTCTTTTACTTTAGGAAAAGTAGCAATAATACAAAAAAAAAGTCCTACGTTTAAAATCTTACTCCTAAAATTGTGTGGCAAAAGCGTCAAAAGCAAAATTCCACATTTACCAGAAAAATTAATTATTACTAAATATATATATACTGATGCACAAATGGGAAGTCAGTTTGAGTTTCAGTCTGTGGCAATAAATTGTATTTTATAACCAGATCTTAAGCTTTGCATATTAAACACAACTACAACAGTAACAAAGCAGTAACTTAAGCTGTTTGCGTGTCTAAACCATCCCTTACCAGCACCAGCATAACAACACAGTGCTTTATTGTTAGAACAGTAGGGGCCGTTCTCGCAATTGCGTTGTCAGACAGAAAATAAATTGTTCAAATCGTTGTCCTGCAGCATGTGGAACCAGCAGCATGTACGGCTGTTTATTTGGAAGGACTTGTTTTTGTCAGTAAAATAAAAAAAAACAACTTCTCCACAGTGCCTGAAACAACACCGTGCAGGGGAACGCCAAAGCAAATATATTGCACCTATAAATATCGGAATCAACTGTGTGTGTGTGTGTGTGTGTGTGTGTGTGTTGTTGTTATTGTGGGATGTTAATTCAACCAAGGTTATTAAACCCACAAATTTATAAATACGTTCTTTTATGGGAGCTTCTGCATGAACGGGTTTGCTCAATATTCATCGCATACCAGCTAATGACACTGGGAGACGACAAGAATGTGAAAATTGATTGAATGTGTTTATTGCATACCCACAGATTTATATAGTTACAGCTATCACACCTGCACTATCTGCTTTTTTTTTCTACATGAATACCTAAATAAGCATATAAATTATATGCCTCTCTCGTGTTCATCCACTGTATGAAAATTAAGCACATCTCATTTCCCTCATGCAGTAAGCGTCTGACACAGAGGTGGCAGCATTGGATTTTCCCTGCAGAAGGCACGACTCAATCCTACAAAATACTCTGGATCTTAGCAGGGATGTCTGTGCTGCATGTCCACAGCAGATGGGTTTGTGTGACATGTTGTACTGCAGCGATGCCATCACGGGGCTCTTTGTGCTCTCTGCTGCTTCACTCCATCCAAGACAGTATTCCGGGACTGCGAATAGTGACCATTTTCATTATCTAACAATATCAGAGTTCATTTTTTTAAATCAATAAATGCATCACTTGGTCCATATAATGTCAAAAAAGTGAAACATTCACATCAGAATTTTATAAAACCTGCCTTGTTTTGCCTAAATATATGATACACTTACATATAATATGCATTTAAAGGAGATTGCTTCTTGTTTTATATCATTTTCCATCAGATGAGGCATTGTTTCATCTAGTGTATCTCCAAATAACATTCCTCCATCCTCATTATCCTAAACAAACATTCCTCTTTCTGGCTCTCCCCTCACCTATTTCCTTCCCACTCTGTCCTCATAAGCTGGCATTTATTTAACCTGACCCATGTAAAGCTTTACCAAAACAGCCACTGTTCAATTATAAATATCTGCTCAAACATGGCTCCTGAAGAGGCTAATTTGTTGCTTTACCAAAGTTTGGAGATTAGCAAAAAAACATGTCTGAGAAGCTGCACAAGAGGAGCAGCTGGTGGTTCCTTAATTTATACAGCATATTAGAATGCACTGGGCAGACTCATTAACCCTGGTTTAAAATGCACCATGCAGATGATTTGGTTTGGAGCTTATTATCTGGTGGTGAGGCTCACAAAAAAATAAAAAATAAAAAGCCCAGGTTGCTATGCAAACTAGTGCTTCTGGCTTGAAGCAGAGTGCAGCAGCACTAAATGTTGGATCAGATCTGCAACACCTTAGAAAGGTGTCATTTCCACAAGATGTCCAAGAGTTTTCTCATATGACCAGTGGAACAAAAAAATAAAAAATAAATAACGATCGCACCGACTTTACAATCTGTTTCACCGCGTTGGCTTTCATTAGAACTCCTCAGGAGGAAACAGACCTGCTGCCAGCCGAGCCGCGGGGAGCGCGCACATGCTGTATCAATTGATCAAAACGCACACGTCTTCATTAACTTCACATACATTCGATTTGCTTCTATAATATTGGCTTCCTCCTGCCATGTGTGAAACTGATGACAGAGGAGGAGACGGAAGAGAGAGGAGGGGAGGAGGTGGGGGGGAGAGATATCATGAGCCACATTATGTAAATAAGGTGCAGGAGCATGTGCCAGTTAAACCGCAGTGCCGTGCGGAGTGGGATGAGGCGCAGGCTGTGGACGCTGGAAGCCGGGGCCGTCGGTAGATGGCGGTAACCCAAGAAACCTGATCCAGCGGGTTTCTCGGGCGCTCTGTCTCAGTTTGCAGCACTCGCATTCAAGGCAGAGGAGCTGAACAGTTTGAAGGACATCAAAAGAAAAAAAAAAAAGAAAAAAACGGGGGAGAGCTCACGGCGGGTCGTCTCGAGTTTTTACGCGCAGCCCCCCTTCCCGTAGCAGGAGACGGAACGCTTGTTTTTTTTTTTTTTTTTTTTTTTTCTTCTGTTGTTGTTGTCACCAGAATAAGAAAAATAAAATCGGGAAGAGGAGCACCATGGAAGACAAGTCTAACTCGTTCTCCAGCAACAAGGAGGAGAAGGCGGATGGGAATAATGTTTTTCAGAGGCAAGACTCGATACAGAAAAATAACACGGGGAGCCAGAACATGAAGGACCATGGCAACTCCGTGGGCTTCAAGGGGGAGCGGGAGGAGGCCATGGTCGGTTTTGACGATCTGGAGGGGGCGTCCAGGCAATATGGTTTTATGCAGAGGCAATTTGGGGCCATGATGCAGCCCGGAGTCAATAAGTTCTCCTTGCGTATGTTCGGCAGTCAGAAAGCCGTGGAGAAAGAGCAAGAGAGGGTTCAAACGGCCGGATACTGGATCATTCACCCATATAGCGATTTTAGGTAAGGGCTGGAATAGACACCTGCTCACCCTCCCTCTCCCCCACCTTCTTCTTTCTTTTCTTTTTTTTTAACCCACCCCTCCCGCCACCCCAGGGTCTGCAAGCTATAGCCTCCACTTTCACACATAACGCTCCGTCATGGGCGCACACACACACACACACACACGCGCGCACAGCCTGCAGCTCCCCAAAAGCGCTAATTTACCTCCTGTATTTAGGCAATCAGGTTTCCAAGGAGGAGGCGGAGGGGGCTTCTACTGTCCAAATGCGTTTCATTGCGGCATTTTGATTCTAACAGAGGAAAAAAAAAAGGAGGAGGAGGAGGAGGAGGAGGAACGCGTTAAGGCTAAAGGTGTATCAGTGAAACGTCCTTGGAAAAAGGCAGCTGAATGTCATGATTTGAGCGCACACACACATACACACACACGCTCACACGCGCGCGTAAAGCTCAGCCTGTGTGATTGTCTTCTCCACACCAACAGCGTCAGGTTCCTCATTGCGACATATTCACGCTGGTGGAGGTGGAGGTGGTGGTGGTGGTGGTGGTGGTGGAGGGGAGGGAGAGACGGTACCTGGACACAACGTGACAATGCCATTGCACCATCACGGTTGTAAACATTTCATTGTAGGCGGCGGTGAGACGACGGGGCCTGTCTGTGTGCAGGAGGAAGGCAGAGAGAAAGAAGATATGCACAGAATGCGGTAGAAATCGTGCAGGGAAAACCCGATTAAGGAGAAAATGGCCGTGGTTTTTTTTTGTTGAATTAATTAGTGACTTAATGCATGAGAGATGTGTTGCAAATGTGATGGAATGTGATTGTTTGAGAGGAGCTGCAGCAGCATCACTCCGCTCCTTGGCATCCACCAAACGCCACAGTGACACGATTATTGATATTTATTTTGTCTGCACAAAGCCTGTTGGCTCACTGCCCCGCAGAGTGAGGCTGGAAAGTAAAAACTTAGATTTAAAAAAAAGCCTGCCTGCTGAGAGATGCATGTGATTACACATTTATGATGCAGCAAATGAGTCAGTCGAAGTGTTGTGGCGTGCGTAAATTTGTTTAACAATACGTTTCCGTGATGAAGGACTGGTTTCCTCACAAGCTGCGTGTTTACAGTTCACCACTTAACCAATTAAGCATCTCATCTGGCCCCAGTCAGTGAACCAGCGTCCCCTGGCACAGCTTGACGCTGACAATCATCCCGGTTTTCCGTTGGAGAGACATGTAACGTGCTGGGGCACGTTGCTGCCTCCGCCTCCATCACGGAGCTGTCCCTGGTCCTGAACTTACAGCAGGCCTCTGAATGCAGCACTCCCATTTCTCCAGGCTCCTCCAGCTGCTGATCTCAGAGCTGTTGGAGACATTTTTAACTAAAAAACTGCCTCACTGAGAGTCACAAGAGTTCCATCATAACTATGTGGCTTTGCATGCTCTTAAAGATAAAGTCGATCACAATGCAACACCGAGACACCACACAGGAGACACTATAGCTCCAGGCTGTAAAAGACAAAACAATGGGGTTGTTGTTCCTGCAAGGTTTCTCAATGCATAAGGACCAAGCCAACGAGAATATCCTGTCCTCACCCACACAAACACACAAGCATATGCACATACCCATATGCACACACAGATGTACAATGATGGTGGGCAAAGATTAGCACAACACAACAGTCAGTGAGCTTAGCAGACTCTGAAAACAATTATGTAAGAAGATTGACCCCTACTGAAAGATGGCCAAAGGGTAGGACCCAAACAATGAAGTGAAATGCGGAAATTTTTCATGGTTCTTTAGTTATTTTGGAAATTAATTAGTTGTCTCTTAAGTGCTGCGTTTGCCTTATGATGAAGTATTTAGTATGACGGGGGGATTTAGGTTCCAATGTGCAGCCAAAAGCTCCACGATGCAAAAACATATGTGTGTCTGCTCGAGCAGATTGGCCCTTTTATTTCTGCAGTGTTTGAGAATGTTTCACTATCTCGGGCTGGTGAAGGCTCCCCCGAGGTTACTTCCTCGTGACATTTTCCAAAGGGCAGTTTTTTCAGAGGAAGTTCTTGTCCTCCAGCCAGAGTAAGGACTCAGCCCCTGCGCGCCGTCGAGGTTGTGCTGCTGCGAGGTTCTTTCAGCTACCTGTCAAGCTCGTGCATAAATGATGGCGGATTCAAGGGGACTCTTTGCTCAGCAGGTCCTCTTGTGCTGTAGCTTAAAAGTAGGATCTCTATTGTCTCATGTTTTTTTTTCCCACAGAGCGCCTTATCATTAGCCAGCCTTACATGTTACATAACTGTATTAAACATTTACTTTCCCAATAACTTTTGTATACTGTGGCAGGACCGACAAGAGAAAAACCAAAACACGCCGCGCGGTCTTTTAATGAAAAGTCTTACGTAACTACAGTCCATGAATGACACCACTATTCACACGGGCTTTATATCGCTTTGTGGGAGTGTTTGAAACTCAATATCCAACATATTCTTTGTACACAGTGGCTGCTTAAAGATTAATGGCAGGTTAGTAATATTCATTATTCATAGATTTTTAGAGAGGCCTCATGCACGGCCTCATACACCTCTGGTAATACTAAGGAGGGGCCTTTGTCATCGTCTAAAAGACTCTCAGTGATGTTTTCTGTCAGAGTCAGAGGCTGTCTACCAAGACAGATGCTTGTTTTTTCAGCATCATCACATTACAGTTAACACACCATGCTGCTGTTCATGTTGCACCATACTTTATCTTTCTATTTGTTCTTTGCACTGATGCCTGAAATGTATTGTGCAGGAAGTTAGGGCTGGAAATGTCTCATGTTTATTGAGAAATATATGCAAACATTCCTCATTTTGAGGACTCAGATGTCTCATATTATAATCTAACATAGCTTCTTTAAATGACTGTTGAGACTGTGAGAACTTATTTAAAGCTGTAGAGTTGGAGTAGAGCCACTTTATAAAAGTTTATCCGGTTTAAACATGTGCAAGAGATGGATGTATGATGTTTGGTTGACTATCTGTGCCTAATGGCTACATTTCACTAAGTTTATCACGCATAGGTGTCAAAGTCATCCGTGTATTTGATCTGACGTCTATTCTTTTCTCACTGCATCATCACAACACGTGACCTCTCGCGCTTGTGCGTACCCGCTACATTGCAGATTGCATAGGGCCGAGCTGTGCTGAGTAAGATCGTGTGGGGTTCCCTCTGTTGCTTGGCAGGATTGGTCTGGCATTGATTATGATGGATCACTTGTTGTAGGGAGGAAACCTACAAGACGAACTGTGCTGCCTTGATCTGAGGCAGGATTGATCCGACGCCTCAACTGGGTCGTCGCAGGTTCAAGGCTTCTTTTGGGGGGATTCCTTAGCTTCTAGCTTCTGTTGTCGATGGAACATCCTGCTTGGCGGTTTTGTTTGTGATATGATGGGGCAGCAAATGCTAATTTCTTCTTTGGTCACAGGGTGCATATGTCTGGCAGAGGGACTGATGCCGTCTCTGCAGTGTTACCGCAGAACCTACTGTGTTTGGGAACATTCTCCCACTTTAATCAATGAGCACAGCAGCTTGTTGGTGTGTTCCAAGTGAGTCTACAAATTGAAGCTAAACTCAGGATAAAAAATGATTAGCAGAGTGCACAGCTCATCTGCATGTGAATGCATATGCTGGGACAGGACCTGGGAGTGTGCTGCTAGAGTAAATGTAGAGCACTGGAGGTCCACTGCTGGAGCTGTCGAATCTGAAGTTAAACGTGGGGCTGAATGCACCGGTAGCGCCGGAGCTGAAATTGCGTGCACTGCACTCCGCTACTGGTTTAGCTGGGGCTGAGTGTATTCTGGGAATTGGAGCAAGAGCCTAATACAATGATGCAGCAAGAGTTGGATGCTGAGTAGGAGATGTCCAAGATATCACGCAAAGGGGGCACCTGCCTTAGATTTACCTTAAACTGAGGAAAGTCAGCGTTACAACATTTTAATGTCCTGTTTTTGTTTTTTTTTGTCTTCTTCAAGTTTGCTAATATCTTTCGTATTCAGAGTTAATTCGAGGCCTGCTGCTTTATGCTTTATAGTTCAAGAAAAGAAGTGCGATGTTTTATTCATTAGATAAGTGGGTGTCTTAGAGGTCGTGTACAGTATAAAAACCACCTACTCAAGTCATGACAGAAATGGGAATATATTAGAGATGCGGACACACAGTCCTCATGATGATTTTAACATGAGGGGAAATCATTCGACATGTCTTGAAGTATAGAAATTTAACAAATGACATTCTTGGGTGGTTGAAGCATGTTTCTAAAGCGAAATAGTTTGAATCAAAATATTCCTTTTTTGCACAATATTCCGTAAATTACTGTAGTGCAGATCAGGAGTGTGACTTTTTGAGGTGTTGTTTGTGTTTAAAGTAAGTTTGTTCGAATGCAACTTGATTTTTATTTTATTTAAAAAAAAAATATTCCTGATGTTATCTTTGTCTTAGTTCTGACAGCAGTGCAGCTGAAGAGACAAATGTATATGCATACTGTTGTTCATGTATTTGCTCCTCGGGGTCCTTGTCATTGTTGACGAAGTATGTTGCTCTCACGCAGTTTTGAGAGCAATGAAAGGCATTAAAAAATCCCAAGTGCATCATGCTCTGTGTTTAAGCATCCACTCCACAGGCGGCGGTTCGATGCCTGCTGGATTAAAAATACCTACAGTGGATATTAAGAACCACCGAGAAGACTGCTGTTTAAGTTGAAGTGAACACAATTATCAGACACGGGATCTGTGGATATTTATAAAGCCAAGGCCCCGGCTTAATTTATTCAAACAGATCCATTACTGGGTGGCCAGTCTGTCAGCCAGACAGGCAGCCTGCCAGCCAGCCAGCCAGCCAGTCCATTTCCACCTTCACAACAGCAGTGGATGGGCAGAAAGGCAGAGCAGAGGCAGGCGGGCAGGGATGGCGTCAGCAGAGAGTTTTTAGAATGAGATAGGATTCCTGAAAGCATCTATTTTCATTCATGGTTGCTTGGCCTTTACTGGGGCCCAAGACACTTTGTGAAAAGAGCAGGGCGCTGATGAATTGCTTCTGGCTCTGTTCATCGCAAGACAGAGGGCAGGGACATTAACATAGCCGGGACGGATGAGAGGGTCTCAGTCTAAAGGACCATCTTTCAACCACACTTCAAGCCCAAAACTGGTGAAAAATCCAGTCTTTTTTTCACCTTGTTAACATTTCCACAGGATGATCTTTATATGCTGGAAGATTTTTGGGGTTTTAGTGGTTTAATCAATGACCGGAGAGCGACTTGGTAACAACTCAAGTGCATGTGTACCTGTCATACCTGGACATGGTGCTTATTTCTCCCTTTTGAAGGCTTCCATGTAAGCGCCTCTGCACATTAATACTGATAAAATGTGATTATGAGTTGTTTAGACACATTAAACACATATTCTGATATATGATGACAGAATTTCTGTAGCAGCCAATATCAGGACAACCAGAATATTGCAGTTTAGCCACATGAGCAACATGGCTCGAGGTACTTGGCCGGTTAGTGCAAAACTTGACTCAAACCACTGACTGTATATAAAAGATGGATGTAGCTTCAAGCTGACAAGTGAGTGCAGAAGATTGTATCTATGTGAAAATGGCCCTGCTGCTTCCTTGATCTGTTACCTCGGACATCTACCTCATGAGTTTATTGTCTCAATTGCCAGTTTCAAGACTTTTAAAATACAGCATGATTTGACAAATTAGAGTAAAATAGACGATAAAGCAGAGTATGCTGTAGAGCGTGGCTACATTGTGGTTGACAGGTTCTCGCTTACGACGGATTCTTTAAAAACAGCAAGATGATGACGGTTAAACGCCAAACTCAAGGCTCCACAAACCAATGAATGACCTCGCTGTGTCATTCTTTATACGGAGTATACAGTACAGACTGAAATGTCAGTTGTAGAGATATTCAAGGTCCCCAGAAGATGAATCCCACTGACTTTGAAACTCTCCTTACTTTTCCTCCTTTTGCCACCATGAAGTTGACTTTTGTGTTTGTTAGTGAAACGGTGTGACAACTATTAGAATAGTTGTCATGTAAATAGTTCCAAACATTCCTCTTCCCCACCAGGATGATTTGCAGTACCTTTGGTGATCCTCATTATAGTGACAGTAAAGTCAAACACTACTTTGTCAAATACTTTCAAATTTTTTTGCACCCTATTCAGTTGCTAAATGAGTGATATTCCTACTGCCCTCATCTGTTCATTGTATTAATGTTGATAAGCTCAGTTTGGCTCAAGCAGCAAAAGCAGAATTGAATATAATCTACCCTTTTTACTGACCGTTTTCTTTGTTACTAACTGCCATGTTTTCTCCCTTGCATCCCCGATGCGTGTGTGTTGCCCTGCAGGTTCTACTGGGACTTGATAATGCTCATCATGATGATGGGGAATCTAATCATCATTCCTGTGGGAATAACCTTCTTCTCAGAGCAGACTACCACCACCTGGCTGGTCTTCAACGTGGCTTCGGACACCATCTTCCTGGTGGACCTGGTCATGAACTTCAGGACGGGGATCGTCAACGAGGAGAGCTCCGAGATCATCCTCGACCCCAAGGTCATCAAGATGAATTACCTGAAGAGCTGGTTCGTCGTGGACTTCCTCTCCTCCATTCCAGTGGATTATATCTTTTTAATAGTGGAGAAAGGCTTTGACTCGGAGGTTTATAAAACGGCCCGTGCCCTGCGAATCGTCCGCTTCACCAAGATCCTCAGTCTTCTGCGTCTGTTAAGACTCTCCCGACTCATCAGATACATACATCAGTGGGAGGAGGTGCGTATATGTTTATCTGCGCACATCAGAAACACAGAAAAATGCACTGATATAAGCCAGTTCTGCTCGATATTTTGTTTATATTCCAGCTCTGCGTGCTGGCTCTGACTCAGGCTGGATGCTTTTTTTTTTTCCCACCAGCAGCACGGTAACAACCTTGAAAGGTTATTGCACACATATAATTGTGCACATATAATTCTAATAGGTGCTGTCAATCACTACTGGTCAAAAGGCTTATCTGTGGATAACAAGTGGTAATGTCAGTCTCAGCTCACTGATGGATGAAATTAATTCAGAATCTAAAATCAAAAGTAATTACCTCCATTTCCAGAAAAAAATGCTTCATTTCCTCCAACTACATAGCAGGCATGTTGCTCTGTATATGGACTGAGGGCACAACATAATGCATATCGAGTACAGCAGAGCATGTATACAACTAAATAAAGAGGCCAAAAGAGCGACTTCCTTGAATATTAGTGGTTGCTGAAGACGACTCGAGCGGATTTCGTGTAAATATCACAAGGTTATGCCCCACTGGACATAACCGAGAGCGATACATTATTACCCACTATCGAGTCATTGCACTTTGTGACTCAGACTATTTAACCAAGCTCTAGTGTCCTCCTTCTCCTGGTAATGATTTCATTACGCTCACTGATTGAAAGACTCTCCAACTCCATATCACAACTGCAGCCGATGGATTCAGATACCGAAGCACAGACATCGCTGGAAGCTCAGTTAAAATGTAAATAGGTGAACATAATGGCATCGTTTTTAATGAAGCCGCCTCTCTCTCTCTCTCTCTCTTATCCCAAACGTCCTTGCGCACCACAGGCCGTGTCCCTCCCTTGTTGTTATCACTGCTGTTCTCCACGCTGTTTGCTGCACTGGCTGTAGCAAACTGTGTAATGTGTCAGCGCACAGCCTGAGCTCCGCTTCTTTGGACTGCACAACGGCTTTAAGATGCATCAGCGGCAACAGGAGCGGAAAAACTAGACACCGCGCCGTCCATAGGTGCATCGGACAGCCATTTAGGAACCTAAATGTAAACACGAGCTTTCACAAAGACGCTAATGGCTGTACTTATGAACAGCGTACAAGTAGAATTGTGCATTCAATCCCCAGCCCCCATACTATGGATCAGTGAACATTTATGGAGCAGGAAAAGATCATCTTTGTACTTAAGTACGACTGAGGCTTTTATGGCAGCTTATATTTATCTGCCAGTGTATATTTCTAACACTTTTTGATTATTCTTACAGCATGGTTCGGCATTCGAAAAACAAAAGCATCATTTATGCTTCAGTAAAACATTATTCAGGCTTTTGCCAAAGAAATGGTTTTCAGTTTCACATTCACGTACACATATTCTGAGCCTGTGCTGTTATCTTACCATGCGGACTATGTGGGAAGCTGATTATGAAATCCAGATAGCACAGTATGTCGCTGGGTAGTTTGCAGAGTTGTATGCAGTGGGAGGATGAGACGGTATGGACCGGCGCAAATAGATGCCGCCGCAAGGTTAATGAAAATCTGCAGTGAGCATGCAGGCGGCGCAGTATAGGGATGTGTCATACTGCCTGGATGCAACAGCAGAGCTCACAGCCCCTCTCTACTCGCACTTCATCTCATTCACGTCATTCCTCTTTGCCTCCAATCATCTCTCTGCTTATCAAACTCCGGCTCCTTCTTCCTCTCTCCCTCCCCTCCCCTTGTATGCTTTTTCTCACCCTCTCACTCTCACGGTATGTCATCCTCCTTTAGCACTTTCTTCAGATGTTGTCCAGCCTCTCTCCGTCGTATTAAAAATACAGCCTGTGTAGTATTTCCAAAATGAATCCAGTTATTTTCGGCGTAGCCACGTTAAACAGACACTCTGAATAATAAAGCAGCGGCGAATCAGACACGTCCACAGGAGATGTGAGAGGAAAGAAAAAGGCGCTCGGTGGAAGAATTCCAAGCTGTCGCAACATGTTAGGTGTAGGATGCTGGATTAGAGCTGTAATGGAAGGACAAGTGTAGTCTCCTGCCATCATAATGGGTTTCAAGCAGTGAACCATCATTACATCAGCCTCGGGGTGGTTTCAGTTAGTTATTCAGACAGTCAGTTTCTCCGATAAGTCATCTTCTAGCCTGTATGTCCGACCGTCATCCCTTCATCTGTCGTGTGCTCCCTGCCCCCCTCTTCACTTTGTCACCATCTCGTCCCTCCATCTGGGAAGTAAAGAAGCCTGTTATTTCATCAGCACAGGCTGGACAGTCTGAGCTGGGCAAAGTCAGATTTGTTGTTTTGTCAACACGCTCTTTCGATTTTCATAGATCTTAATGTCACACACCGTCAGAGATCTGGAGTGGAGAAAAAGCTGCATATGATTATGTCGGCCTTATTATTTAGCGTCTTCATGTCCTCACACGTTTTACACTCCCACAAACTTCATCTTTACCTCAGTGGAGCAGAATTATCCTACTTAGCATGGTAGATGATGCAACAAATTAAGGATGCACGATATATCGGCGACCACATCGATATCGGCCGATATTAGTGTTTTTTTCTGATATATCGGTATCGGCCCGATGAACAAATTTAGCCAATGTGAAAAACTGATGATTGTCTAACATTAGCACCTTCGTCTCTACATTTGATATTGCTGCTATTTCACAGATGTTTTTACTTAAATGGTCCTGGACTTGAACGTTAAATATGTTTAAATATGTTTTACTTTTGTTAAACATATTTAAACATTGGGCTGTTGTCTAATTTGGTCTGGACTTCTTTTGAATAGTTCTCACAGTGCTTACTTATATTAATTTTCCGGTGTGAATAAAAATTGAATATCGGTAATATCAGTTATCGGCGATATTAGAAATCTTAATATCGGATATCGGTATCGGCCAGAAATTGTAATATCGTGCATCATTACAAAACATGATTCTATTCCGTCATGTCCTCTTATGGGCAGGCAGCACTGCCTCTAAGAAGTGCATGTTGGGTGTTACGGTCGAAGTAAAATAGCTGATTGGCTGCAGTATAACTACCCACAAAGGAACTGACGCATCTTATTTAGGCGACTCACTCGATTGTCACTCATTAGAGAGGAATAGTAGATGACTCCATCTGCCAGAGCCAATTAGTGGGGAAAATAATGATGCAAAAAAAATAATATCATGCAGTAAACACTACTTTGACCAGACCTTATGGCAACAGCTAGAATGAAATGTATGATATATGGGTATTAAGTTGAGATACTTGTACACATTTGGACACCAGCCTGCTTGATGTCCATGCCACTGCATGCTGCTGTTTGTATGCATGGGTCTCTGCATGTTTGTTCAATCATTCATTCGTGTGTTTGCTCACACATAATTATTGCACTGCGCAGTGCTTAGGGAAATTGTAGCATCCAGTGTGAAGGTCATGTTGAGCAGTAAACATGCTGTGTGCTCAAACAAGACAATTTAAACAAGCGGCGACTAAAATGGAAGCCGCTGCAGCGTTTACATCTCAAAGTAACTCAGGGATTTGCCTTACATTCCTGATTGATATTGATTATTTTGGTCGTTTACAACAGAAACTGTAATTCACAAAGGATGTTTTTCAGAAAACTGTGTTCCTTGTGTGCGGCTAGAGGTTTATCTCGAGCTGCAAAACTTAATGTTTTCACATCAACAATGCATCAAGTGATGAGCAAACTGAGGATCAGCAAACTCTCATTTTAGCATCTTTAAGCCGACTGCCTGATAAAAACGACTGTATGCTGCAGAACACAACCAGCACCAAACAGAAGATTCACAAAGTTAGCAACTAGTTCATGAACTAAGGCTCTGTTCACTCAATCACTTCACCCTGAGTAACTGACTCTCAACATTTTACTCAATCTGAGCAGTAACTGTGATTTCTAACACTTGACTGATCGTCATCATTTTGCGTCATCGTTCACAGCTGTCGAGTCCACGGATGTATTAAGAGAGCTGGATACAGCGCCGCCACTCATCCTCGCTCCTAATTTTAGCCAGTGGACACTCACAGAATACTAGTACATGTCGTGCAAAAAAGCTTTTTCCCCCCATAGACCATGACGACTGTTACGAAAGAGGCAAAACATCAACAGGACACCTTCTACTGCAAACACTCTGTTATGGCTTTGTAATTACAAAAGTCTTTGTGGATGATTATTTTCATCATTGTTGATTAATGTCAATCATTTTCTTGATAAATTGGTTTGTTGTTTTGTATGCAAAATGTCAGTAAATGGTTAAAAATGTAGATTAGTGTTTCCCAAAGCTCAAGATGACTTCCTCGGGTGTCTTGTTTCATCCACAACCCAAAGATATTCACTTAGAGAAGTAAAGAAACCATCAAATATTACAACCAAACTGATTAAACGAGTCAAAATAGTTGATGATTACTTAACAGTTGACAACTATTGGAATTACATTAGAAGCTTTATTATGAAATGAGCGGCATTTGCAAAACTTCTCTGGCTCATGCACCAGTGAGCAGCTGCCATCTTTGAATCTGGTATCCAAGCTTTTGTTAATACATCCATGGATGAGTCACCCAAACAGCCAAATTAGCATCTGTAAAATGCATTTCAAAGCGGGATTGTGAGCAGAAAGTCCACGGGATGGGCGCTACTTTTATCTTGTTATTGTAAAGTTTGGTGAGGGCACTGCATTGTGGATTTAAACACAGAATTCAGACAGTCACTGTGAAGCATTCCAAAATAGGGACGAACAAATGTATCGATCAGGAGTTGGTGGAATTTAAACTTGTGTTAACTAAACTACTTAACACCTTAACATTGTAACTGTGGTTAACAAAGCCTCAGTACATGCTAATGTTGCTTATAGATTACATCAGATTAGATTAACATGTGTGGGTGGTGATGTAATACCGCATCAGCTGTTACTTGAGTAGAGCTGCAGTCAGTTCTGGCTTCGACCACATGGACAAAAATTCCCTTTGCTTTCCATTTAAAGTGATTAATATTAACATTTCA